CTCTGTCAGACTCTAAAACACGGTGACCTATTTTTCCTCCTGCAGAGGTCAGATAAAACACCAGGTGTGCTTTGTTCTGCTCCCTCTCTCACCGGGCTTTTTTTTTGGGAACACACAGATCAGCAAGGGGTCGTTTATTGGCTTCTATTTAATTAGTCTGCAGTATTCAAATGGGGCATCTGTGCTGCAGTCTGTAGCTGACCTCGCTGCGCAACTAAAGTTGCCAAAATCAGTGCGGAGCCTGGGTGTGTGTGCGTACATGCGTGTGCGGTTGCGTGGACGGTGAGCTTTATCACACGGACAGCGTTTCACACCAGCCTGGTTTTAATAATGCCACATTAGTCCCACCGGCAGTTCCTCCCCCCTCCTCCCTGTCGTTTGATATCACCGGCTCTGTTTTATACTGTTTCAGCTTCTCGGCATAGGTCACGATCTATTAATAAAGGTTTTGCCGGATAAGACTGCGAACACGAAGAAAAATGGAGACACCTTTTCTTGTGCAGTGCTGCGGGCGATTCTGTAAAACACAGACAGGTAGTTTTTCATGTGAGAACTGAGAAAATGTGTAGACAGAACAAGAAAATCTCCGCTCACCACAGCAACTGAAATTATAGACCATCTGGGCCAAACACTGAGCAAAACAGTAAAGAGTTTCCCGATGAATTAAGTGATTTAGTGCTTAGTGTTATCTAAAAGTTATGCATTTATTGCTTTTTAGAAACATGTTCTGATACTTGAGTTTAAAGAGGCAGTGTGACATTTTGGCACATGGTGCCATTTTATAGCACAATCAGGTACCTTTAGTTTTTATAAAAAATGCTGTATATATATATCAAATATGACTTATAAGAAATTTAAAACCCTATATTTATATCTAGGTTTTTTTCCCTCCCCTTTCCCGCCCATGGCTTCACACCACCAGTCCATCAAGCACCTTCAACCATGTGAGGGACAGCTGGCAGGCGACCCCCCTGCCCCCCACCATACAGACACCCAGCACCTGGCCCAGAGTCACCCACACTGGCCAGCAGCAGGACTGGGCCAACCTAGAGGGCTCACCATCCACGGCCCACCCTCACATAACCGGCCACCACCTCCCGTCCTGAGCCGGACTCAGCCACCCCAGGCAGTGCCTGCATGCCCACCGCGCCCTGGGACAATGCTCCTTCACACCAACATGTAATGGTGGGAGAAAAATGAAATAAGTTGGTTTACAAAGTGTAGTTGAACGTTACATATATCATGTCCAAACATTAGGGACTGGAGAAAACCTCAGCAGAGTCCACGCCTCCAGGAAGTGATTGTTTCTGAGGAGCTGCGGGTCCAGACTGTAGAACCAGCTGCTTTTAAAGTAAACTGTAGACAGTCACTGGGAGTGATGCTCAAAATGCAAACACAATGTATAAACATTTGTCTTAAATTTAACTTCTAGAATATCATCATGGTAAAATTCTCCTTCCATAAAAATGTAATTTTTAATTAAACCTGCCGTGTAAACCAAAAAAACAACAAAAAAAAAACCGCCCTGCATATTGTAAATTTGAACAGATGGTGATTAAACATGAACACCAACCTAAAATCTCATTACTCCGAGCTGCCGGACCACCTGACTTTAGGAAGGAAGCGGAAGAATTCGGTTTAAAATAAAATCGCTGAATTTGAGGAGACAGCTCACAGCGGGGTCTGCTGTGGCAGCAGGGGAGTCCTTCTTGATGGTCATTAATTAACGCTTCCACAGGAAAATGATTTTCAGACCGATCACTGGTGCAGACTCAGGAAGCGTTCTTCCTTCCTTGAGATAATTACCATTCATCTTAACACCTTTCTCTTTGCTTCCTCTCACACACAAGGTGTCAAATATTCTGCGGGCGCTGCATCTTTTTCCTAATGTCCTGTCACAGCTGTGGAATATTTACATAAAGCCATGGACACCTAGTTCACACTTCAGCAAATTGGTATCCCTAGCTGGATGAAACCACAGCACCTAAAGAGCCACTGCTTAAAAACAACTCAAAGTGGTTGTTTTTTTTTCTGAGAATATAATTTTATTTCATGGATATATTTCCTGTTTCCTCTTTGGAATGGAGAGAAGCAGATCTGACAGCCAGGTATGCTGTGGGTCAACGTGCAGAAGTATTAAAGGGACAGTATTAGTGCCATTTTATAGCACAATCAAGTAACTATGTTACCTTCAAATATGAAAAATTGTTGCATATGTCAAATACGACTTAATTTGACTTTTTAATTTAACCCCTTGAAATTGGACCTCTGTCTCTTTAAAAACTCCTGCTCTTTCTGAAGCTCCACCTTCAGGGAGTCATCACAACATGGCTCTTCTATCAGCCCTTTAACAACTTTTTTTTACCAGCATTGCAATGAGAAGTAGCTCCTATAATGAGCTCAGCTGATGCAAAGTTCCACCAAATTAGTCAACTAATTGCTGCTGGCTAGTCTGAAGGGGTGGAGTGGAGGAGTCCTGGGGCAGGGCTGCTCTGTGAGACAGAAGTTTGGAAGCTTGGAAGTTTTCTGAGGAGAATCCTCTTGACCTCCCGACAGTTACCTCACCAGGCCGGATTGCACCCTGCCATCTCTTGAACACAACAGTCTCTTCCAGAGTCCCGTGAGATTGTATTTTGAAGCAGAACTGAACTCCCAGAGGGAAGCCACTGTCTATCACTGTGTGCATCAGATTTACAGGTGAACCTGAAACATGTCAATACAAAATGTCCGGTCTGTATGTAAAAACAAAGAAAAACAAAAGAAAGGGATGTTTAATTGCGTTAAAATGTTTAACGTGTTAAAATGGATGTATGCATGATTAATATCCTACAAAGAGAAAAAAAATCACTTCAATTTTCAATACATGTTAAAAAGCTCAAAAGGTATGATTACTGTAGGTATCTAAGGAACGGTTTTGGATAAAAATTAAAAATCCGGACAGCAGACCCCACTGCGCACTTTGCTAAAGCCCAACCTGTTATATTGTACATGACATTCAGACAGCCTCTGAGCAGCAGTAGCTGGAGGAGCAGAGGCTGTTCCTCTCCTTGTGAACATTCCTGCCTTAGCATATTCATCCCACCTGGCTGACAGACCAACAGCTCAGCTTGTTCCCAGTCCCGGCTCAGACATCCAGCCTGGAGATAACACGAGGCTCCGGCTGATCTGCGTTTCCTCACAGGACTGGGCCAAAGTGCTGCGCTAGCAGAGAGGAGAAGAAGAAAGCCAGTGGGCTGCAGAGAGCTGCTCCCCTAAAACTCTCCCATGGAGCTGAGCCGCTCTCTGGACAAACAATAGTCTGTGCCGCTCTGTCCACGAAGCCTGTTTCCCATCACAGCACAAACACATCATGTATGAAAAGAAGCAAATGCAGAGAAACTCTACAGAGAGACATAACAATGCTGCCATGGCTACATGAGAACAGCTCCATCAGCCGCTGAGGTCAGAGCTCCCTTCATTCCCAGAGAACAAATGTGATACTTACATAACACAAAGGAGAGCATCGCTTTGAAGTGGGGGGAAAATTACATGAGTAACTTTTTCTTATTTTGTTTTTTTATAAATATGAATGTGGAAGGTTTGAACTGTAGTTACAGGAACATGTTGTTTGGGGTTTGCTTCTAGAAACTTTACAGATTTTTCTTTGTAAAATGGCTCCAGTTCAGTTAGATGGGATGGACAGTTTCTATGGACAAGTCTTGCCACAGACGTTCAATGAGATTTAGGTCTGAACTTTGATTGGGCCATTCTAACTAAGAGATATGCTTTGACCTTAACAACTCTACTGTAGCGCTCGCTGCATGTTTAGGGTTGTTGTCCTGCTGGGAGGTGAGCGTCAGGTCCAGAGTTAGGACTTCAACAGGCTCTAAGGGCAAATTCACAATTGGAAATGAGAACCAAAAAATTGGTTCTCAATTCCAATTTTTTGCTGAAATTCAATTTTAATTTTTAATTTTAATTTTTTTTTTTTTTGCATAGTTGTTCATACTACTGAATGATGTGACCACAGTCAGACTTCTGTGTGACTTCTGTTTACAATCCCAAAGCGAAGCAGAGCAGGAGAAGAACGTCGACGTCCCCATCAGCGCTCCGTTTACGGCAGTAGCAACGGATGGATTTTAACATTTAGCAATGGGAGCCGACCGCATCGTCACAAGATCATAACAAGATGAAGGAAGCTCATAAAAAAAAGCACAACTAATGTCAACGGCGTTTTGTGGCGGGTTTCTTTTTGCACCTTTTCCAGAGGAGTCTGTTTGGATGTAGTCAGAGCCAAGAGTGGTGGGGCTGTGATGTGATGCACTTCACTAACTCAGACTTATTTCATAATTTCATAAATATATATATTTTTTTCAGGCAATGTTTATGTCGAGTCGGGCTTTTTCCAAGATGCCGCACATCTTACATTAATGACTTAAAAATTAGAGAAAATGCAACATGACTGTTGAGACACTTTGAAAACTGTCATATGGATTGGAAGTGTTTCAACTACATCCTAAAATCGCAGTGCCATCTGGTGGCCTGGCATGACAACCGCAGCTGACTCACAGTGTCTTGGCGGTGCCGTCTAATCTTGGAACTTTTCTCCAGTCAACATCCAACAACACATAAATGTAGTGTCATGAGGTGGGGTTGTTGGTGGTGAGGAGAGACGCTGAGACCCAGGTTATAGTGATGATGAAGATATTTAATGATGAAGATGCTCAAACAGTCCAACACAGGCAGCACGGCAGAGAGACAGGCACACAGCCAAATACCGGTAGCAACTGGTAAACAGGACTTAAACGAGAGCTAACGCTTTCCAGGACTTAACAGTTCTACTGGAGGCGAACACTAGACGTGAGACAAACGACAACGACAAACTTAGACACGACGAGGATCCGACGAGGAACACAGACAACAGGTGGGTTTAATTACACACAGGGTAATTAAGGAAACGAGACACACCTGGGGATCAATCAACGGGGAGGACAGGACAGAGACTCACAGGGAAACAGGAAAACATAGAAAAACTCAAAATAAACACAGATCATGACATGTAGCCTGATTGGGACTCTCTGTGGTTTTCTTTTAGCAGTGGCTTTGTGCCCGACACTCTTTCACAAAGGTAAGATAACATGTATTACGAATATTTATCTCGCCAACAGATGCTCACCTGAGCTACGGCGTCTCTGATGGGTCGCACCTACTGGCCTGCACATGAAAACACCAACGAGTTACACTGCAGACTGAGGCTACTGTTGATTAAACATGGCTGCTCCGTGTCTCTTCGCCAGGACTTGCTGCCATTTGAGCATTGAACGCCAAAATGGCAAATGCACCAGCACTGCTGTTCCTCTGTCTTTATTGGTGCTGATGAAGTGCATTAACAGACTTAATCTGATAGCGCGGGCTCCGGGCCCTCTAATGAGACAGCTGAGACCGAATCATTTGTGGCTGATTGTTGGCCGAGGCTGTTGTGGAGCAGTTGGTGTTTCTCTTATCTGCCTTTAAAAGGCAAACAGCTCACACCGCTCCTCTAACTCCCTCCCTCCTTCGCCTGGATTCCCTTCTGTGTTGCTACATGTCTAGTATTTTGAGTGTGTGTGGCTCGGTGTCTGTGTGTTCAGCTGGCAGATGCTGTAAGAGCAAAAACACTGTCACCTTAGCAACTCAAGTGTTTGTAGTCGCTGGAAAAAGGGAGAATGTTCCATGTAACATTTAATCCTAAAGAGTCTTTACAGCTGACCCTCCAGTGTGGCTGAAACCAAACACTTCTGCAAAGTAATAATAATAATAATAATAATAATAATAAAAACATAATAATAATGCCAAAAATCTAAATCTTTCCAATGTTTGTTAGCAGTCGTGATAAACAGGGGAGGTGCAGTCAGTTATTAGATTCAAGGTGAGGCGAGGCGGTGTATTTGTACAGCACATTTTCAGCAACAAGGCAATTCAAAGAGCTTTATATGACAAGGAAAAAAAAAAACATCACACTGTGGAGGCAAAGTAAGGGAAAACAACGGGCTGAACGACAGACTATACTTCACGACGTTCCAGTTGTTATTAATTGTAATAATTTTCACTGTTCAAAAAATACTGGATAACACAAAGCAAAGCTGAAGATCCAAATGCTACATATAAAGTCAAGCAGGAATATCACAGGCATCACAAGCTGAGTTTTTCATTTCAAATTTGTGAAAACTTAAGTTAACTCATTTATTTTCTGCTAATATTGAAAAAAAAAACAGAATTTTATACTTGCAGTGTTTCCATTAAGTAAGAAGTGCAATGAAAATCACGCATGAATAAGTTTCTTCACTTGATAAGTCATTAAAAAACACGGTGCCACCGTCCTCCAGCTACTTCCTGTTGTCTTCTTTGTGGTTTCTACCAGTAGCAACATCTGGTTGTTGATCATGTGACTCGTGTGGTGTGGAAAAAGTGTTCCCATTGCAGTTTTGCGTATGGAAGCAAACTTTTTGTGTGTGTGAAAAAACGACTTCTTTTGAAATAGCAGTGTGTCTACATTCGTTTTTAAAATGTCAAATTGTGCATTTCTGTAGTCAATACAACTGAAATGCATCGCAGATACCCAACAGTGTGACAGTGTGGCAAGGAAATGTTGGTGCTTTTGAGATTTAAACTTGCTTCTCCACACATCTCAGTAAAATTCCACAGAGTGGTGATCAGAAGGAAGCGTTATGATAATGACATATTTCCAAAAGCTTTCATGTAAAACTGGAGAGTTCCCACTGACCCATTTCCATATTTATGTAGGTTTCTGTTAAAGCTGCAGGGCCTGCCGACCGGTTCGCTTTCAGTCTGAGGACAAAATGGTGCAACACCTTCACCTCGACCCGTATTATTATTCTACAAGCTGAAAGTTCAGAGTCCAACATCAACAGAGAGTTAAAAAAAACCATCCTCCCATTTCTGAAGGCTTGTGTCAAACATTCACAAGAATAAAAGATATGACTTCTGATTACTAGTCTACGTTTTATGTCAAATTTACACTATTATAAATGAAGCTAAAGATATTTTTGCGGATTTTTATCCTCAATGTGAAGCACCTGAAAAATGAAGCAAAAAAAAAAAAAAATTATATATATAAAATTCAAATGTACATTTGAATCCAGAAGTTTACAGACAAAAAGACCCACATTTTTTTCTCTCCCTGTCTGAAGTTAAATCTGACCAAACGTCTTTTGTTTCAGGCCAGTTAGAATTAACAAAATGATTTCTGTTTGCTAAATGCCACTTCAGTGAGAGAACATCAGAGATGTATTTCAAAAGGATTTACAGCTTTTGTTTGTCTAAAACAACAATGGTGTGTGAACGGTTAGGCACATGATGGAGCAGCCTGTTGTAATTCAGAGTTAAACTAATTTCTGTGAAAATGTTCTTGGTGTTTTTATGACAACGTGGATCTTTCAGATCAATTTGAGAATGACTTTTGATCATTTATTGTCATGTCATTTGTCATGCTGGTTTTGGGTTAGGAGGTTTTCACTACGTTAACAAAGCATTCAGTTTATTGTACCTTTTCATTTTTCCTCTAAACCAATTGTTTTCTTTTTTCAGTTGAACTATTCATCATGAATCTAAAAAGTTTTGAAACGATCTGTCATGGTTTCATTTTAAACCCGGCGTTGTATCAGGGATGTGTGGACTCTGTGATAAATATGTTTTCTGGAACTGATCTGGTCCAACAGCTCCTAATCACCTGCTGCACATTCCCTCCTCCGGGAGCTCTGGACATCAGGAGGAATATTCTGAAAGCCAAGCGGAGCATGACAAGTTTTCATGAGTTCCCAACTTGAAGGCTCTCTGGACTTTGTCCCCAGAAGGACACCGGGGATTTTGGACTGTCACCATGAGCCTGACGGAACATCTCACCAGGCCTCGTTCCACCGGCTCCGTGATTTCTCCACTTGTGAGCTGTGATTGTGTGTCAAGTTGTCAAGCTGTTCATTGGTGTGTGTGGTGATTAGTTATTGAAAAAAAAATAAAAAAATCAAACCCTCCTCTTCAGAGAAATTGGTCTGATGGTAGATTATGTAAAACCATTTACAGTGTATGACTTTATGTCTTTACTCCCTTTTCCAGTCATTGTTAACAACTGGAATCTTTCATCATATCCAGCCTGCTTTACTCTGGCTCACAAATAAAATACAATCCAGAACATTCTAAGGAGAGGCTCGCTGTACCAAAATTATTCAGAGATTTATTAGTTTTCCCACGGGGACGGGTCGGTTTAGATTGCTCTTTCCCCTTCAGAGAACAGAACAGAAAAATATTCCATTGTCTCTCGGTGGGAAAACTCAGCAGCAATGTAACAGGCCAGCAGAAGCCAGAAGCCTGCAGACACACGCAAAGACAGCAAAGATAACAGAAAGTAGACAATAACACATCGCAAATGAAATCATTATGTAAAAACGGCCTGTGTTTTCACACAGCTCATCGTCATCTGATATTAAAACGTGCTTAAAGATCTAAAACAGTTCAACAGAAGAAATATTTAAAGGGGCAGTGTTAAATAAAATCGGCTTGTTTTGAGTTTTGCATCATGTTTTTAGGCTATTACATAATCAAAAACACAGCTGGAGTGTTGTTTTGATACTTTCAAGCATGTTTGAGAAATCCCACTCAGCTCCTTCAGACTAGCCTGCAGCAATTAGCAAACACCTGGTGGAACTGTGAATCTGCTGAGTTCATTACAGGAGCTGCTTCTCAGAGCAACGTTGGTAAAAAATGTTTTTAAAGGGTTAACAAAGGAGCCATG